GCAGGACATTCAAGTCAGTCGAAAACTGTTAGCAGAACACCCTTCTAGGGACATAAGGATAAAATATGTAAAACATAATGAGTAATAAATTAAAATAAAAATAAAATAAATTAAAATTAAAATAACTTTGCGAAGGAGGAACTTCACTGTAATTAATTAACACATGGCTGGCGTCGCGCGCAGCATAACAGACGCTTCCAATACACATAATTATAGGGGCGTGGTCTATACTGCAAAGGAGCAGACTTTTGTCGACACCGTAGGACCGTCGGGCCACCTCATATATCCAAACCCGATTACTTATTCCCTACGATCTTTTTGCCTTCGGCAAGAGTAGGGAAAAAAATCACATCAGAGCACGACTAAGGTTTCATCTGTTAAGAAGCAAACTCTTTAAGAAAATTAAATAAAAAATAAAAATGCTGTATACAATTATGCCATAAAAATTTTCGCCAAAGAATCAAAAGGATACTCTTGCTATTCTCCAACGAAAAAAAGAAATATAGTGATCATTTAAACTCGAAACAGTTGCTCAAATAAGTTTTTTTTTGATTGAAATAAATTTTCTTCCTTCTTCAAAGACCACGAAGTAAAGATGTCTGATTTATTACAACAAGACACAAATGTGAGTAGTAATAGCATCTGTGAACGAACAATTTACAGCATACTATAAGAGCCCAGATTTCCACTCAAATACTGGCTAATGCATAATGCTATAGGACCTCAAAATAAGATCGAACTCTACAAATCCGATCTATTCATAGAAAAATAGCATTAAAAGACATTTCTATTTTATCCCTACACATTTGTAAATAACTAGAATTGTGTAACTTTAAATTATTTCAGAATTATAACTATTGTGAATTCAATAAAATAATCATCACTTTTGTATCCTTGTATCCTAGCATTGGGGTCAGATCAAGAAAATTTGTTGGTATCATCTACTACACACTAGGCATTAAACTAACAATGGTAACTTAGTTTATTTCTCTGTTACAAGTACAAGAATAAAAAGCAGGATGAATATATTTGAAAAAATTTAGAGTTTTCTTCTATGTGATATTTATTGTTGTTTTTAGATGGAAGAATCATGACTCTTGACAAGAAATGTAAAATAAGGCGAATAACAGGTGAACAAAATCAAGTAAAAATATTAAATGTTTAGGCACTCTTAGGTCTTTGATTGATCAAATTACTAATTAAAAATCACAATGTCAGTCTGAAAATTTGTGCTCTGTCAGATCTTTTGAGCGCGCGCAGGGCAATACTGTATACTTCCCTACGAATTCCCTACGTGCACATTAGTTTCATTTTTCTTAAGGGCTTGACAGCGGATGTTTGATGTATTTTAAATCAAATTGTTCAATAGGAAATAATTATTTTTTGATAGCATTTATTTTAAAATTAGTTTGACGAAAATTTGGTTTAAAAAATTTGTAATTGATAAATAAAATCATTTTTCGCGCGGCGCGTTCGCATATGTGCAGGATGACGATTAATCACTCTACACTCGACTGTCACGTGACTTTTTAAACACGTTCTCTCGGTGGCCCTGAATGACTATTCGAAATCCTAGCCCTCTGATCTGATCCCAACCCTAACCCTAACCCAATCTCTAACAAAAGCATATGCCGAAACCCTAACCCTAACGAGAAATTGAACTAACTTCCGTATCACGTATATGGTCATAGTGATCAAGACAGTTTTTCGCCAATATCTCGCTAGGGGATCATTTTAACTCTATGTCATGGGAGGTAATTCGGAATCAGCGTCCGAAAATACATCGATTGAAGTTGGTCTCAACTGTCGGGGGCCCTTTTAGAAAAATCTCGAAGATCAACTGTAGAGTGATTTAGCACGCTCGATATGTGCATTTACTTTTTTGTGTTCAGCGTTGCACTCTATGCTATTCAGGCCATTAAAAAAGCAACCTATAGATTCAGAATAAAACAAATATTCAGAATAAAACAAATATTATATTCAAATCTCTTTATTCGACAATATTAAATCATTATAGAACCTAATTTGTGGCTTGATCGTTATCTTAGGGCTATTCTGTTAGCTGATGCTGACAGGCACCGCATGGGGCAGAGACTTAGGACCATTACGCTGGAGGCTTACAATGACCCTTTTTGAACCCCATGGCAGTGCTAGTTTTATTATGGTACAGATTGTAAATCGAAGTTATGAAAACGATCAAGTCACTCCTGTTTTACACTATCAACAGCTACTTAAAACAACCTAGATTGTACAACTCACTTTGAGGATTCAACTGTTAAGTGATGAGTGATTGGACTCATTAAACATTTTAGTAGCGGAGACATGCGGATCAGCTTCTTGAGGTTCTAGTATTTCATTCAGACAAGAAGTTTTACTTTTTCAAATTTAGTTGTTCAAGCTGCCTGAGTTCAGAAAGTTTGCCAAAGGGGCCCAGGTATTCTTGTCACCTTTACCCTGAGACGAGAGAATGACTTTTTTTACCTTTGATTTGAATACACCATGAGTGATTTCAAGGTCGTTCAGTGCCAACATCTGACGGAATGAATTCCAAAGGCAACTAGATTTGTAAACGAAACTGTTTGAGGGCATGGTTGTTATAAGAAGAGTTTCTTTGCCGGGTCTTTTAGACAAACAGAAAAGTTCAAATAGTGCAATTGGTGTTCGATATTTAAAGACTTTAAAAAGTTCATTGCAGCAGTGATACGCGTATAAATTATGCAATGTCATGAGTGATTGACGGGCAAAAATTGGCTTGGTGTGCTCTCTCTCAAAGAATTTGCTCGTAAGTTTCTGTTCACTGATAGGTCTAGTCCTAGCACATGTCATAAATTTATCAAGGTATGCTTTTTTGTCACCAAACATGATACGAACACACTTTTTCTGGGCTACAAATAGTGGTTGAAGTTTATTATTACTTGCACCTCCCCAAACGGTAATGCCATAAGATAGGTGACTTTCAAACAGTGTGTGGTACAGGTCCTTATGGATAGATGATGGAATTTTATCCTTAATCATGTACAGCCTCCCAGAACAGGACGAGAGTTTTCTAACTAGTTTGTCTCTATGGGGATTGAAAGTTAGCAAGGTAAATACTAAATAAGCCTTAAACTCTTCGGCAACGTATTTTTGAAGGCATGAATGCGAATGATACTCGCAGCTCGACGGCCGACGCGCACGGTTTTTAAATTATTATACAAGCATACATTTTATTTTTGACTTAAATTCCAAAATTAAATTTTAAATACTTTTTATTGTTATAATTAACAGTAAAAACTTATTTGTTTATATTTAATTATTAAATCAAAGGAATAAAAATCCTTTTTATTATGTATTAAATTAAATTTACTTTTTTATAGTCAACAATTAATAGCGCGCGCTTTGTTATTGTTTTGGCTTTATTGTTGAAAATAATTATTGTGAACTATTTCATGCATAAAATGAATGCTGTGCCTATTCAAATATAATAAATGAAGGTATCATCAATCATACAGCTAAAATGTTGCTCTATCCAGAGCCCTCTCGCTTGCAGTAGCACGCGACCACCGAAGGTGGAACTATTTCACTTGTGAAACAAGCGCGTCATGCAGTACGCGTAGACTCATGTCTAGGTGAAGCCAAAATGGATGAAGAAATTAGTTTCAAATTAGCAAAGTCATAATTTTTAAACCGTTTAAGATTTCATTGATATTCGGGCTGGAACAAACAACAAATCTGTGTGATTGTTAATAACATTATGTACCCGAGGATTTAGGACTACCGACTACTGTGTTACTAATTGATACACGGATATACTATACAGATTGACGATTGTGTAAGGGTTACCTTAGGACCAACGGGTCCATCATTACAACTAATAAATGCATAAATTAGATTGAAAATATCTTTTAGGGGGTTAAATAAGAAAGACAAAAAATGTTTGTCCACACTTGTGTATTATTTGGGATTAGTTAAAAGATGCGAGATGTTTAACAGGGTCATTTATGTAACCTTCACTCAAAGCTTTCAGTGGATAAGTTGGCCATAGTGGCAAATATAGATAACGGAGTCCCCATGTCAACAAGTGCAAAGTGCTTTGATTGCCAGTCGTCGCCTGAAGGGCTCCCAATCCAAAGATTGAGGGTCCGAGACCTCCTTGTACCAACAATCCTAGAAGGTACTATAAGGACCCGGCCCCTGTGCTCTAAGCAATTCTCTTAGGTTGACCGAATGGTGAGGAAGTGTTCGAGGATTAAATTAAAGGAACCATACCAAAAGATCTTCTAAATGCACTCTCCAGTACACTTGTAGTGCACTGTATATTATGTAATGGTTGCTCCAACCCAGTTCGATATGCTTAATTTACGTTTTTGTTTGCATTTTAGCAATGAAACTGTTGCCCGGCCCAGGTTGTGCTGCTGCTAGAGGCTCTCCTCCAAAATTTTAAATTGTCGAGCTTCCTCATGCTCATGTATGGGACAAGCATTTACGAATAGTATAAAGATGTTGGTAAAACTTGCACTGTTCTGTGGTTTAGTGCACTACACTTCTGTATTGTCGTCTGTGTTTTGATGCTCATGGTTTGTTAGCTTTAATTCTCAGCTTTGCATGTCTATATTCAGTATTCTTGACGAGGGGATGGGCACTTCTCTGGGATCTTACACACCCACAAGCTGTGTTGGGATGTCCACTCATGGTACCTGCCCAGTGCCCAGGTTAATCAAGCAGTCAAGCTTCCTACATGTTATGTTAAGCATTCACAGTTTGTTACTGCTCACTTGAAGGAGACCGTTTATAATTACTTTAAATAATTAGCTATTTTAGATTTAATTTTTTAAATATTCTTGCCGAAGCAACACTTCAACAAGTAGCAATTCCAGTAATGGACAGTAGACTGCCAATTATTGAGAAGTGACATTTATTAATGCCCCACCACCCCAATTCTCATTTATTATTTAAATATTGTTAATATGAAGATTTGATTCAATTATTTTTTCTTTATTTTGATTTCCACCTTGACTATTAGATGGCTGTCGGGAAGAGTTTTCTCGACCAGTACTCTGTTTTTTGTGTATTCGGATCCGTGGTGGGATGTGTGGTCGTTCCTCTCATCACCCAGGTATGTTGTGCAATGCATATAACATCTGCAATTTTGTTTGTTGTGTTCTGACATTTTTAGTTGGTTATATCACTTCACAATCGTTTAATGACAACAGTGATTAATCTATCTTTCTTATATCGCACAAATTTGAACATCTTATGATATTGAATGAAATCAGCTACACCATCCATAATGCTTTCATTTTGTTTACATTAAAACTTCTATTTTGGTTACTGTTGTCCAGATCCTTGTTCCACAGTAGAGTAAAGGTCTGGTTTAGGATTGGTGCTAAGCAAGGGTTTGTGTTAGGGTCTAGGGGGACAAGGTTTTAGGACAAGGCAATGTGAATCTTTTTAGAAAATTAACATGTATTTCAATTCTTTTCAGAGCGTGGAATCCCTGATCTTCTCCGCAATTGTTATAAGCCTTACTGCGAATAGATTCTCCAAGAAAGTCGTTCTTGAGGTAAATATACAGCTTAATAAAAGCTAGTAAGTTGTTTATCAAATTTTGTTTTACTTAATTTCTTCATTCCCATGGCCATCTTTTAAGAGTATACGGGGATCTTTGATTTATAAAATATTTGTATAATAATTTGATACTGATGCTGTCATTTGTATCCAGCTCAAATATTCCATTTTGTACCCTAAAGGTTACCCCTTTCACTTTCAGCCAAGCATCAAAGGTGAAAGCAAGGAACAAAAGAGTATCAAATGCTCCAAGGACAAAGAAACAAACCTAACTGCCTGCAAGAAAAAGAAGAAACCACCTTCTAGTAGTATAAATGGGGCACAGGTTAGTTGTCTATTATTCATTTAACAATGGAATGTGGTCAGATTTATATTTATAGTATTGTGTAATTTTTGTACTTTTTGTCCTATAGCTTAGGGAACTTCAATCTGCTGAAAGTTTTAAAAACTGTCCTATTTCCACTTGTCATGATTGTTTTAGTGTCCATTCGTTTCAAGTCTGTTAATTACCACATTAACCGCCTCGTTACCAATTGTCAAATGTGTCGTAACAGTAAATTAACAGATGACCAATCTGTCTATGCACAGTTAAAAAGCTAGTTTCTTCTGCGGCTTCATTGCTTGAGAAAAAGCATATAACTTAGAAAATGTGATAGGTTCGCACATTTTATAGTGTTGATATGGTCGGCTCAATACTTCGAATTTTAAATGTGAATAGCGTAGCTGTTAATTATTGTGTTAGGTAGTTAGGACACCGTAGAGTGCACGACGCAAATTCTCGTTTTCTTTCACATCTGAAGGGATTGTAATATGAGAGATATTCACTCCTTAAAATTAAAATTTATCCCTGATAAGAAATTACTGATTATAAAGCTACTTACAAAACATAATATTATCTTATATTGGTTAAGTTGTACATTTTATAATCCAATCTTTTACTTTTTATTTTAACATTTTTGTACCTAAATTTTTTTAATCACCATTATATCAACTTATTGTACTGATGGATGACTCACTTATTTCAATTCAGAAGCTCCAGGAGAGCTACGTGTTAAATATCGATTTTGATTCACACTGACTTTCTGCGTATAATAAATTGTATAATTGTGACCTGTCATAATATTAACAGTGGTTTCAATACGCGTGACATTTCACTTGGTAGTATTTAAATTATATCATAATTTTCTCATACTATGTACACTGTATGTGCGGTGCCACGACCACCGAATTAACCTTTACTTGTCACAAATTTTCAAATACGCTTAATTTTATTAATTGCGTCTAATAGGCCACTTCCGGTACAAATGCGGTAAAGAAGCGCATGTGGCTACATTCCCGTTGTTATATAATGTTGGTACAATAAATCTAGAAGTGTGTACGAGACACCTGCGATACCGCTCCGCAGATCGGCAGGACTGTTTATAATGAAAGAGAACATAGTGTTCTAAGTTATCATGAGTGTAAAGCGTATAAACATTAGAAATTATATATAGATCTTAATATAGAAGCCACACTGAGCAGATGTAAACAGATCTGGTGTTATTGTTCCATGATGTAGAGTGGAGAGCAGTGTTTGTCACGTGTTTGTCACGTGGTAGCAGCGCTAGATTTGTATTGATAAATTTCACATACAGACATGTAAAGAGTAATGGTTATTGTAGTAGTTGTACAGCAATACTAAGGTAATGGTTATTGTTCTAGCCACTGTACAACTCAGGGCGAGGTGTAACCAGATAGGGTGTTCTCTTACTATGGTTCACAAATTATATGAGATTTTGACTTCCGACTTTGGGGTTTTACTTTTTAGGGTAATCTAATAAGAAAATACAGTTATCTCTCACGGGTATTTTGTGGTGCCCGCGCACATGTTGTCTCTTATTAACTTTGGGACACTTCTACCAACTTATTGCTAATAATGATATCTCAACTGAGTTATTGAGTAGTTGTTAACGGGGTCTAATTGTTAATTGAGTAGTTGTATAATTCATTAGTATGATTAATTATTTTCCTCAGAGCGCGTTGTACCACCAACTGTCCCCATCTGAACTCAGAAGGCAGTATAAAGAAGAAGTGGAGAGAAGAGAATATGAGAAACTTCGAGAATTGGTAAGTATTAAAGAAAACTTGAGAAAGTTCTAGAAGTTTTACCTAACACCATGTGTACACTGTGAACACGTGACCCCCCTGTTACAGTTGTCCAGCTAATATGTAGCTGCTTTTCTAATTATGGTATCGTTATTGAGGAATTTAGCGTGCAAAGTGTGGAGGAATTTTAAGTGAGGATCATGACCTGAATTGTGGACTTCTTCAAATATTTGGGCAGCTGTCACGTGCTTGTCAACCCTTAAAAGGTGTCTTGATAAAACGTGAACTTGTATGCGTTTTGGTTGAAGTCGAGAACATTCGCTCCACGACTCCATTAGTTTCCGATCCTGTTATCTTCTTAGTCCCACTTTAGAGCCCTACGAGGTTGATAACATTTCTATAAATAGAATAACATGTGGGAAACTGGTTTACGCGGAAATCTGCCAGAATGTTCGGTGAAACATATTAAACTTGGAAGGGAAGACCGATTATTTTACTTGGTATAAGATTTATTTAATGTATAACTAGGATGGGGTGTACAATATGCACATACTTTCCTTCAATTTACCTTACTTCGTGATGAATTATCATCTTAATCTCAACTGTGTTTAGGAGAGAAAAGAAGAAGAAAAACGAGAGAAGAAGTTAAAAAAGAAAGAAGAAAGATTAAAAAGAAAGAATAATGAAAAGAAAGAACAAGAGGTTGGTTTGCTAAACATTTGCTGTTTGATTTAATAATTTCAAATTAAAAGCTCAAAGTACTTACAGCTTTTAAAAGATAAACATTATTAAATCACTGTTCAGATATTTTTATGTCGCATAAACTGTAATAATATGCATTGATTCACTTAGGCATGTGCAGTTAATCATCGTTACCTAATGGACCGTTTATCGGCATTTAGAAAACGGATAATTGCTAACTTGGTGTTTAATTTACACCCGTACATTTTAACAAACGCTCACTATGTACTGTGACGTTAATGGTAATGATAGTCTGTGACGTGAATGAAACTGTGCGCGTGTGCTATTACCGTCTGTTATAATCCGTGCAAATCACATCTTACTATATATAAAGCGAGACGCGGACGATATATATATGTATATATATATATTTATTTATCCGCACCATTTTACTGACACCACGGCATCAACTTTAACACGGGTTTCCGCAAAAACCGTACAAGATATAAAACTGAAACTTTTTTAACTGATTCAAATGCTTTAATGGCCTTCAAATCAGCATGAAAAAAATCGAAAATCGGCCAAGGAATAAGAATTTTAGTACCCAAAATTTGGACCCCCAAGTGGTGTCAAAAACGCGAATTAAATAAGTAATAATTATTTTTACTGGGAGACTTTAGGGTAGGAAACTGATCCGGCCACCAAAGAGCCTTGACACCAGTCTTTAAGGTTTGACGGGTTCCTGCTAGTTACTTTAAGTTTACTGTGTAAAGGTAATTTGAGGGGCTAGGTCTAGGTGTCAGTATTATGTTTCATATTTAGGAGGTGAAATAATGTGGACAATAAAATCACTTAGGTTACCCTGGAAAACATTGTTAACACTTGAGACATGACCCTGATAACACAGTAAATATTAAAAATAGCGCACGGGCCCTGCACTGGTCAGAGTCAAATAACCACACCTTGAACAAAGCTAATTTCATAGTCCATTAACTTTTCGAATATCTCGGTCAAAACGTTTAAAAACTATTGTAAGAATTTATATTGACTTTGATAACAATTGTCCTGTCCGTATAGCAACAGTTAAGATCGACTTAAACGATTCCTCCAAATAACCATGGCATCAAATTGGCCATTGGCCAATTGCAATGTCAACCCTCTTCCCACATATTATATCCATATTTGTTATCAGCAATATCTCTTAGATCATCTGTAATATTGATGACCGTGTCCCTGCTTAACATGTTGTTGTCATGTATGTATTACATGTGTCATGGATTGTGGAGTCATGCGGCAACGTGTACATATTTTAAACTTAAAATAGCCCGCTTGTTCTCAATTGAACAATGGACAATGATCCTAATTTTGAAATTATCTCACTAAATTCAATTTTTCTGATATCAAATAGTTTAGCTTAATATTAAATATATAGTTACTTTATTTTAATGGAGACCATAGTCATATGCTATGCTCAAGTTGGTAACTTTATTTTCAATTTGAAAAGCCGTAACATTTGTTATCACCCATAAAAACTGCAGAGTAAGATTGTACATGTACATTAGCCCTGATAACACGAACAGTTAACTAAGTTCTTATATTTTATGTAATAAGGATGGACTTTATGAATATTCATGTGTCTCGTCTGTATTGTTCCGTATAAAATTTGAATTTGTTTATTTATTTACTTTTCATCTGACCTGTGGTTGAGATATTAGTGACCTAGCTATAACGGTAATACTAGATGATATGTAGTATAAAATTTACCTTGTATTGAAGATCTAACAAATGATCACTCTGCTGATTCTTCCCATTCTTCCCATAGCTCATTGATGTATAATGTTTAAAAGTATGGACTGAACCTAATGTCACACAATTTCTGAATTTTATAAGAGTTCAATTAATTCCTATAAAACTTTCCATTTGTACGAGCTAAACACCAGTAGAGTATTTTAACTTAGACCAGCTGCTATGGGTGCACTATAAATGATGTGCACTATAAATGATGTGCATTGTGCACGGTGTGCACATGCTAAAACACTCCCGCAAACTCGCCTGGGAGTAGTGAGTACTAGGCACTAGCACATATTACCGGTCTGCGTATATCCTGCATAACAATTACTGCAAACACACGCACAGAGTATAAGAGACTTCTAAAGATGGATAAGGGGGGTCCGACCCCCTTTTTTTCCAGGACCGCCAAATTTTAGCCAAATTGGAATAGACAAAAATGAGGTTGTACCCGAGCACTTTCAAAAACATCTACGAAAAAAAGTTAAAATTTACCAAAAATCAGTTTTTTGGCACAGTTTGGTGGATAATGACACAGGACCCCCCTTAATAAGACCTCTGAGCGAACAGGGCGCGTACCTCTCTCTTTGACACGTGTTTTAGACCCTTCAACACGGCCAACTCTTCAGCAGCTATTTATCAGGAAATCTCTGTTGGCAAATAAATAGTATCAGGGCGTTGCTGGCTTTGTAATTTGTATGGAGATGTAGTTTAGGTTTAGGTTCAGGCTTGTGTTTAGTGATTAAAACCGCGGATATCCGGTTGTAAACCTGATGAAACTTAGTAAACTTAATAAATAAAGATAGCGGTTTTTACAACGGAGCTGTAGAATTACCAATGGTCTGGACTAATTCACTATAAAATGTAAAACTTGTCTAGACTCAATCCTTCCACACGTTCCGCAACTTCTAGTCGCTCTACTTAGTATGTGTAACTTGTCATGATGCAGAGCATGATGTGTAACTTTGTAGCCTCCTAGACAGGTAACACACTGTGTAACTTGTCATGATCCTTAGTCCTGCAGAGCATGATGGAGAGTAGCAACATTGGCTGGTACAGTCGTAACATTGGCTCGTACACTCGTAACATTGGCTCGTACACTCGTAACATTGGCTGGTACACTCGTAACATTGGCTCGTACACTCGTAACATTGGCTCGTACACTCGTAACATTGGCTGGTACACTCGTAACATTGGCTCGTACACTCGTAACATTGGCTGGTACACTCGTAACATTGGCTGGTACACTCGTAACATTGGCTCGTACACTCGTAACATTGGCTCGTACACTCGTAACATTGGCTGGTACACTCGTAACATTGGCTCGTACACTCGTAACATTGGCTCGTACACTCGTAACATTGGCTCGTACACTCGTAACATTGGCTCGTACACTCGTAACATTGGCTCGTACACTCGTAACATTGGCTCGTACACTCGTAACATTGGCTCGTACACTCGTAACATTGGCTCGTACACTCGTAACATTGGCTCGTACACTCGTAACATTGGCTCGTACACTCGTAACATTGGCTCGTACACTTGTAACATTGGCTGGTACACTCGTAACATTGGCTCGTACACTCGTAACATTGGCTGGTACACTCGTAACATTGGCTGGTACACTCGTAAGATTGGCTCGTACACTCGTAACATTGGCTCGTACACTCGTAACATTGGCTCGTACACTCGTAACATTGGCTCGTACACTCGTAACATTGGCTCGTACACTCGTAACATTGGCTCGTACACTCGTAACATTGGCTGGTACACTCGTAACATTGGCTGGTACACTCGTAACATTGGCTCGTACACTCGTAACATTGGCTCGTACACTCGTAACATTGGCTGGTACACTCGTAACATTGGCTCGTACACTCGTAACATTGGCTCGTACACTCGTAACATTGGCTCGTACACTCGTAACATTGGCTCGTACACTCGTAACATTGGCTCGTACACTCGTAACATTGGCTCGTACACTCGTAACATTGGCTGGTACACTCGTAACATTGGCTCGTACACTCGTAACATTGGCTCGTACACTCGTAACATTGGCTCGTACACTCGTAACATTGGCTCGTACACTCGTAACATTGGCTCGTACACTCGTAACATTGGCTCGTACACTCGTAACATTGGCTGGTACACTCGTAACATTGGCTCGTACACTCGTAACATTGGCTCGTACACTCGTAACATTGGCTCGTACACTCGTAACATTGGCTCGTACACTCGTAACATTGGCTCGTACACTCGTAACATTGGCTCGTACACTCGTAACATTGGCTCGTACACTTGTAACATTGGCTCGTACACTCGTAACATTGGCTCGTACACTCGTAGCATACTTGTAGAATGTAGGTCATGTTCTAGGGAACACCATCTCCTGTGATCCTGTATCTGTGATGTGCTGTACAGTGCACTCTAACGTACCCTCACATGTGTCACATGTAATGTAACACTTGTGTCACATGTAATGTAACACTTGTGTCACATGTAATGTAACACTTGTGTCATATGTAGCACGTGGGTAAGTGGGCTGTGACATCAATGTGACCGTGACTTTCTATAACAACTCTCCAGTCTCCAGTAACCCAGAATATAACGTCAAACTGACATGTTACACATGTAACACGACGTGTAAGTTGCAACACATGACACTATGCATGACGAGTAAAACCACGTGTACCACCACGTGTTAGTCGTATCACGTGACGTGTTAGTCGTATCACGTGACGTGTTAGTCGTGTCACGAGTTGTGAGTGTGGCAGTGTCTTTAAGAAGTGTCAGATGTGTCAGCACCCCCTCCTTATCGTAACATTACACTGGTTACTCGGTTATATAATAACTCCTACCACTATTCTCTATACTACGGAGTGTATAAACTAACTTAATAATGAGATGATATGCATTATCGGACTGTTTGGACAGTTCAAAATAACGAGAGTGGGTGAGTTAAAAAAGTATATAAATTGCGGGGTTTTTGTTTCACTTTATGTTATCCAGATAGACAGTTGTACCGAGAGCAACTGTTTCAACTCCTCTAAAAGTTCCAACATTTATAATCGCTGTTGAAAGCTTAATCGGTATGCGGTCTGATTGGTGACTGATCCGTGCAACCTTGTCGTACAGTAAGTAAGTTAGCATAGTGAGTAATGGTTGAAGCTCAACACTGGTCTAAGGATTGTACCTGCTGAATTTTTGTAAACATAACAGATTATATTCCCGAACAATCTCTCCTAGAAGAAGGAAGTACACTCTTTATCTAAAAGAATGACCCTGAGATAAGATAGAGAAGTTAGCGAGTGTGCCAATTTCGCTTCCTTTACATCTGAGTGTTTTGGATGTCCAACTTGGACTTCTAGTACTAGCATGACTTGTTTTGGCTCGCAACTTCTCTGACCAGATATCTCTGATACAAGTTGTGATATTATTAAGAAATGTAAATGAAATGTAACGAAAGGCCAGGTATTCCTGGAATGTTGGGTTAAGTAATCCGGCTACTCGGGAGTGAACTCCGCGATATTGTTCTAGAAGTTTAGTAATATCCTGCACCGTGCAGCAATGTTGAGCGAGAAGAAATGTGACGTATGTTAGACTGGAGCGAACAATGTTAACTTGGCTAGCTAGTAACTCAATTGTCTCTTTAAAAACGGATATTTTTCTTAATTTGTAGATTCTCTACTCATTGTTGAGCTGATATAAATCATCTAAGCATGTGCTAAAAATTAAAACTTTGAAACAGACGGAAAATTTAAACAAATTTCAGCACACAAGTTGCTTTTACATAATGAATGTGAGAGACTAGCACAGCTTGGCACTACATCACACGGTTATGTCACAGCTGTGTAGCGATCTGTTGAATGCGATTACCAAATTAAACCTACTACCACGTTGTCATGGTTACAACAAAATTCAGTGAGCGCTGTACACGGCGCCCTGACATTGTGTTACCTCCCAACTCACAGCTGTAGTGTTATAAGTGTTTAATATTAGTGTTTATAGGTGTTTATAGGCACGTTTATTAAGTAGTGCTGTGTCAAATCTGGTGCCTGATTGTATCAAGATATTGTTTTAACATTGTCTATTCAGTTTGAACCACTGATTATAGAATGTGTGGAGAGTTGTGTAGTTAAAACAATTTCATTGTTACAGATCATTATATAAATTTTATATAGCTCACACAACAGTTTCATTTGTTCAATATACACACAATTCAAGCGCTATATTCACAGTTCAATCAATCATCCAACACGATCATATACATATTATAATGAAATGAAAAACAGTTCCACCTTGTCAAACCACACAAAGGTGTCCGAGATAGAGAGAGAGAGAGAGAGAGATAGAGAGAGCGAGCAGCTTTCTCTTACACCAATAATAATACAAGAACTGACCATGATTTGAATTTCTCATCATCATTATACCCTTTTCAGTCAAAGACGAGCATACCCAAAGAAAAGCTAAGTCCTTCGAGCGACAAGGTGCGTTAATTCCACACACTTGAGCACTTAAATGTTTTATAAAGGAGTAACAGCTGTGCTTGATTCTTATCGTTCCCGGTGTTGATTTGTGGTGGTACAAAGTACAAAGTGACGGTTTATAATTTAGATGCCAAGCGCAGTTAACATGCTGAACTGAATAATATAGTTTACAAATGTAATATCAGTATTCAGTATACACCATAGTTACTGTCACAATAGTTACTGTCACCATAGTTACTGTAACCATAGTTACTGTCACGCTGAACGGCTTCTCCTTTTCAAGGAGGTGTCTAAACTAAACTAAACTAAACTATGCTTTTAGACAAGTACTGAGCATTTATTATTATGAAATCATGATTATATAAAGATATAACGGCGTTATTCGCGTGGTAAACTGGTCATTAAAGATGGTCCAATAAACTGGTTTAAGTTGGTCTAAGTAAGCTATTAAACTGGTTTAAGTTGGTCTAAGTAAGCTATTAAACTGGTTTAAGTTGGTCTAAGTAAGCTATTAAACTGGTTTAAGTTGGTCTCAGTAAGCTATTAAACTGGTTTAAGTTGGTCTCAGTAAGCTATTAAACTGGTTTAAGTTGGTCTCAGTAAGCTATTAAACTGGTTTAAGTTGGTCTCAGTGAGCTATTAAACTGGTTTAAGTTGGTCTCAGTGAGCTATTAAACTGGTTTAAGTTGGTCTCAGTAAGCTATTAAACTGGTTTAAGTTGGTCTCAGTAAGCTATTAAACTGGTTTAAGTTGGTCTCAGTAAGCTATTAAACTGGTTTAAGTTGGTCTCAGTAAGCTATTAAACTGGTTTAAGTTGGTCTCAGTAAGCTATTAAACTGGTTTCAGTTGGTCTCAGTAAGCTATTAAACTGGTTTAAGTTGGTCTCAGTGAGCTATTAAACTGGTTTAAGTTGGTCTCAGTAAGCTATTAAACTGGTTTAAGTTGGTCTCAGTAAGCTATTAAACTGGTTTAAGTTGGTCTCAGTAAGCTATTAAACTGGTTTAAGTTGGTCTCAGTAAGCTATTAAACTGGTTTCAGTTGGTCTCAGTAAGCTATTTAACTGGTTTAAGTTGGTCTCAGTAAGCTATTAAAATGGTTTAAGTTGGTCTCAGTGAGCTATTAAACTGGTTTAAGTTGGTCTCAGTAAGCTATTAAACTGGTTTAAGTTGGTCTCAGTAAGCTATTAAACTGGTTTAAGTTGGTCTCAGTAAGCTATTAAACTGGTTTAAGTTGGTCTCAGTAAGCTATTAAACTGGTTTAAGTTGGTCTCAGTAAGCTATTAAAATGGTTTAAGTTGGTCTAAGTAAACTATTAAACTGGTTTAAGTTGGTCTCAGTAAGCTATTAAACTGGTTTAAGTTGGTCTCAGTAAGCTATTAAACTGGTTTAAGTTGGTCTCAGTAAGCTATTAAACTGGTTTAAGTTGGTCTCAGTAAGCTATTAAACTGGTTTAAGTTGGTCTCAGTAAGCTATTAAAATGGTTTAAGTTGGTCTCAGTAAGCTATTAAACTGGTTTAAGTTGGTCTCAGTAAGCTATTTAACTGGTTTAAGTTGGTCTAAGTAAGCTATTAAACTGGTTTAAGTTGGTCTCAGTAAGCTATTAAAATGGTTTAAGTTGGTCTCAGTAAGCTATTAAACTGGTTTAAGTTGGTCTCAGTAAGCTATTAAACTGGTTTAAGTTGGTCTCAGTAAGCTATTAAACTGGTTTAAGTTGGTCTCAGTAAGCTATTTAACTGGTTTAAGTTGGTCTCAGTAAGCTATTAAACTGGTTTAAGTTGGTCTCAGTAAGCTATTAAAATGGTTTAAGTTGGTCTCAGTAAGCTATTAAAATGGTTTAAGTTGGTCTCAGTAAGCTATTAAACTGGTTTAAGTTGGTCTCAGTGAGCTATTAAACTGGTTTAAGTTGGTCTCAGTAAGCTATTAAACTGGTTTAAGTTGGTCTCAGTAAGCTATTAAACTGGTTTAAGTTGGTCTCAGTAAGCTATTAAACTGGTTTAAGTTGGTCTCAGTAAGCTATTAAAATGGTTTAAGTTGGTCTCAGTAAGCTATTAAACTGGTTTAAGTTGGTCTCAGTAAGCTATTAAAATGGTTTAAGTTGGTCTAAGTAAGCTATTAAACTGGTTTAAGTTGGTCTCAGTAAGCTATTAAACTGGTTTAAGTTGGTCTCAGTAAGCTATTTAACTGGTTTAAGTTGGTCTCAGTAAGCTATTAAACTGGTTTAAGTTGGTCTAAGTAAACTATTAAACTGGTTTAAGTTGGTCTCAGTAAGCTATTAAAATGGTTTAAGTTGGTCTCAGTAAGCTATTAAAATGGTTTAAGTTGGTCTCAGTAAGCTATTAAAATGGTTTAAGTTGGTCTCAGTAAGCTATTAAACTGGTTTAAGTTGGTCTCAGTAAGCTATTAAAATGGTTTAAGTTGGTCTCAGTAAGCTATTAAAATGGTTTAAGTTGGTCTCAGTAAGCTATTAAACTGGTTTAAGTTGGTCTCAGTAAGCTATTAAAATGGTTTAAGTTGGTCTCAGTAAGCTATTAAAATGGTTTAAGTTGGTCTCAGTAAGCTATTAAAATGGTTTAAGTTGGTCTCAGTAAGCTATTAAAATGGTTTAAGTTGGTCTCAGTAAGCTATTAAAATGGTTTAAGTTGGTCTCAGTAAGCTATTAAACTGGTTTAAGTTGGTCTCAGTAAGCTATTAAAATGGTTTAAGTTGGTCTCAGTAAGCTATTAAAATGGTTTAAGTTGGTCTCAGTAAGCTATTAAAATGGTTTAAGTTGGTCTCAGTAAGCTATTAAAATGGTTTAAGTTGGTCTCAGTAAGCTATTAAACTGGTTTAAGTTGGTCTCAGTAAGCTATTAAACTGGTTTAAGTTGGTCTCAGTAAGCTATTAAACTGGTTTAAGTTGGTCTCAGTAAGCTATTAAACTGGTTTAAGTTGGTCTCAGTAAGCTATTAAAATGGTTTAAGTTGGTCTCAGTAAGCTATTAAACTGGTTTAAGTTGGTCTCAGTAAGCTATTAAACTGGTTTAAGTTGGTCTAAGTAAGCTATTAAACTGGTTTAAGTTGGTCTAAGTAAGCTATTAAACTGGTTTAAGTTGGTCTCAGTAAGCTATTAAACTGGTTTAAGTTGGTCTCAGTAAGCTATTAAACTGGTTTAAGTTGGTCTCAGTAAGCTATTAAACTGGTTTAAGTTGGTCTCAGTAAGCTATTAAAATGGTTTAAGTTGGTCTCAGTAAGCTATTAAACTGGTTTAAGTTGGTCTCAGTAAGCTATTAAACTGGTTTAAGTTGGTCTCAGTAAGCTATTAAACTGGTTTAAGTTGGTCTCAGTAAGCTATTAAACTGGTTTAAGTTGGTCTCAGTAAGCTATTAAACTGGTTTAAGCGTTACTGGTTTCTCCTTCACCGCGTTACGTGCCGTGTGTTATGTGTTATGTGTTATGTATGAACACTGAACAGTGTAAGTACCGGCTCAAAACATAAGGTTCACTGGGGCGCGTGTTTCCTTTAAGACTAATGATATTCATAGCATTGCCTTAATATTCATTAGATCAGGAGTCTCTCCAATCTCCATGACAATGACCCTCATAACAGCACCTGCCCCCTAGTTTAACTTCCTTTTCCGGCTTCCTGTTAGGAATATTATCCTGCCAAGACCAAGTGTAGGAAGTATTCTGAATTTTAATATTCAGTATCTTAAGTTCAATGTGAGATAAGATTGACTTGTACTTAGTAACCCGGACACTGTATTGTTGTGTAGTTTCAGCTTTGTAACCCGGACACTGTATTGTACTTAGTTTCAGCTTTGTAACCCGGACACTGTATTGTACTTAGTTTCAGCTTTGTAACCCGGACACTGTATTGTACTTAGTTTCAGCTTTGTAACCCGGACACTGTATTGTACTTAGTTTCAGCTTTGTAACCCGGACACTGTATTGTACTTAGTTTCAGCTTTGTAACCCGGACACTGTATTGTACTTAGTTTCAGCTTTGTAACCCGGACACTGTATTGTACTTAGTTTCAGCTTTGTAACCCGGACACTGTATTGTACTTAGTTTCAGCTTTGTAACCCGGACACTGTATTGTACTTAGTTTCAGCTTTGTAACCCGGACACTGTATTGTACTTAGTTTCAGCTTTGTAACCCGGACACTGTATTCAGTGAAAGCAGGATTAATGAACGAATAGTGTGACATTGGGTTCTCAACCATGGAAATTTAGAAGTCCCTACATGCTGTTCTTTCTGGCTCCATGTGCTAGTTAGGGGTCTGAGGTATCCGAAAAATCATGTTTTGAGTACCCAAAGTGTTCTGGGTGCCAGGAATGAGGTTATTAAAGCGGCGAAAATGACCGATTTTGGACTATTTATGAGCTTTTTTGCCCATTTTCATGAGATTAAGAATCAGGAAAGCTGCTCTAGATGATTGAAATGGTTGATACCAATGAGGATACACCCAACACACATAAATATTCGTGATATATGTGATTTTAATGAGAAAAATATGATCTCAGGGCCCATTTTATACCAAAATTTGCCAAAACCACTCGCACTTGTCAAAGCTTCCTCATTTTAGACACATTTAATGATTATTATGGTATCTAACTTATGGTGGATCTGATAGGAGTATGTCTTAGCTTCATTTTAAGCCATCAATGAGCATGCCCATGCTGGTGTGTATGAAAGTACTTTAATCCTCCCGTCCATTGATATAGTCTGGGCCATGCTTTTACAAACATGAATTTTCTCCCTCAGTATCTATCTAAAGCTTTTAAAGACATGATTTGAATGCTATCCTACTCAGCACATGAGTGCTACAGGATGGTGAAAGAATTTCTATAAAAAATCATTAAATGTGGAAGATATGAGGTCATTATATGTGTGTGCGCGCGCGTTTCAGCTTTGTAACCCGGACACTGTATTCAGTGAAAGCAGGATTAATGAACGAATAGTGTGACATTGGGTTCTCAACCATGGAAATTTAGAAGTCCCTACATGCTGTTCTTTCTGGCT